AGAAAATTATTTTTAGAATGGTGCAAGTAGGAACAATTTAAAATCACTGCATAGTCTAAAAGATGCTTTTCCATAAGAGTGAAAATGGTGTAATGCTTACATCACAGTTTCTGAGAGGAGACTAGAAAGAAAATCTGTGTAGTGAATCTGTGGAACAGGGACCTTGTCTTTCAGCAAGCTTCTTGACCTCCATGGCAGAGATATGAAGGGACTGATAATTTCAGGGGCACCCTCTAACACCTAACTCAGTCTCAGACAACTAACAAGAAACAGACAATTTTCCATTAGCAGAGTGTAAATGAATCAGTCTGGTTTATAGCATGCCTTCTTGTAGTTCACCTGGGAAAGCTTTCCAAGGTAGTACAAGTAAAAGTATCACTTTTTGTTTACAGTAATCATTATAGTGTGCTTTGTTTTTCCATACAGAACAGAAAACTTTATTTACAGCAACTTATCACAACAATAATAATATTTCATTCAGTATTCCACATTCCGCTACCAAGTTATAGGCTAGGATCTAACAGATACCTTGATCACAATATGTCCTTTTCACCTAAAATTATCATCTAGCTGCATCTAAGTTTTTGCTGTTACAACAGACAGCTTCCACTGCTGATGCATTGTCATCCCCAGCAACTGATTTTGGACATGAAACTCCACTGCCAGAAGTGCTGGGAAGGGCACCCAGGGCTTGGCTGAGCCAAGCCAGCAGGCTCATAGGCTACCTCCATGAGACTGACCACAGGCATGTGTTCCACCAGAGCTCCTGTCTAGCTGTACCATAAGGATGAGGTCATTTATGCTGGGAATCACAGAGGGAGGAGTGCTTAGAGTATTAAACAGCAATAAAAACTGTTGATATTTCAACAGAGGATCTGTTGAAGGAGACCAGCTGTGTGCTACATGTATCCTGAACAAATTCCTGGTTTTGAGGGAATAATTTTTGTCCTATGCTTTAGTAAGTAGCTTTCAGTTTAGGTCCTGACACAAGTTTTGCTGAGAGTAAAATCAGCAACATTGACCAAGCTGCAGATAGAAATTTTTTCTGGTTCAGAGAAAGAAAGTGAGGATACTGAGACATGGCAAATTGTTCCATGCTTTCCCATTGAGTGTACTAGAAGGGCTGTGAAGTGATCAGGTATTGCCACTAGGTGTTATCTCAAAAAGGAGCAGACTGACTATGTCTTTGGGTAAACTAAAAGAACATGTGGGAACCTAAGTTGACAAATTATTGCTGGAAACATTCAGATTAAAAAAAAATATTTATAGCTTAATATGTGTAATTTGAAAATAAGTAGTTTTCAGGATTTTCATTGCACTGTGATGTGGGAGACAGCCAGATTGATAATTGAGGGAGAGATGCTATGCAGTTGCAAGTATGAATAGTAAGTAGACTGAAGTGAAAAATCTCATGGGGCATGGAAGTACCCCTGCAGCATGCAGCTCTCAACGCTTTTGACCTATGATGGACAGTTTTTGTGGCTAATGCAAAAGGAACTTAAATTATCTAATGGAGTTTTAAAGTGGTAAATAAAACTCAAGTGACATCTAAAGACTGTGATACCTGAGTAAATTATGTATTGGAGGTTCAACAACAATGATGAATACAGGACAACTCTTTTGGCAAATGCAAGGTGGTCCAAAGTCACAATTTTTTCTCCTTGCTCTGATGAAAAATTGGGGAAGAACAGGCTCGTGGATAATGATTTGATGTGGCTGATATACTGCAACTATTTATAATTGCACTACAAGTTTTATTGTAGTGTCTAAGCCCTATCAGTCTAATTCAAATATTTTACTTTCATGTGTGACCTAAAAGAATTTTAAGCAGTTACGTTAAATTATTTTAGGGGGTTGATATTAGTAGTTTGTAATGTCTTTCCAACAGTTTTGGTTTTGACAAATTAATATTTTCTTACACTTTGCCCTCATCTGTACCAAAAATAAAAGGAAACAAGACCTAAAATATTTTGTCAAAAAGATCATGACCAAACTAGTCTGACACCATTTGTGTTCAGGAACTGATATGTATAAACAAACATTGATTCCATGTCACTGATCTGTTTGAAAGCTGGCTCAACATCTGTTACTGTTTGGCAGAGGAGAACAGAATGTACAGATTTTTAAAGCCTTGTAAAATGCTTTAATATTTATTTAATGATTTATATTTCATTGCAATTAATAACCTGATAAAATTCTTTATTAGAGGCAGGAGGATGCGAGAATTTAACAGACAAGCACATTTGCTAGTCTTTTGGAGATCCAAAAATCTTTTAAATGAGATTCAGGCTTGGAACTCCTTTCAAGTTTATTTTCATCCTGAAATCTAGAGAGGAGAGTAATGGGCTGAAAGGAAGCACACTGTATTGCCATGAAATGTGTCCCAGAGGAGCCTTTACAACTGATCTATCACCAGTTTCATTAGTCAAATGTTTTCACTGGAGAAATAATGGGAAGCTAGCTGTTTTCCTAGCAAGTGAATACCACCATCAATGACACTTCTATGCTTTAAAATATTCCATCTCACAAATGATAGTAATCATGTAGTCGTAATCAGAGTGGAGAATGACTTCTGAAAATACTGTTTAGAAATTCTGTGAGCAAGAAAGACGTTAAATATATATATATATAATTAAATGGCAGAAAAGTGAAATTTTGAAATGAAGAAAGATAACAGTTGCTATCTTAAATGTTTAAGTGTTTTATTCAAGACATTTTTGATTATATTTGAGGTACATTGCCTTTAAATCAGATATTCAAACATTAATGTAATTAGATGTTATCCTCAATAAGTTCCATAGTATCAAAGTGTTCTGTAAATGATATGTAGATATCCCCAAGCTGATGTTAAAAGAACTGAAAACAGTGGTACAATCACTCCACTGGTCTCACCCAGTTTGTTGCTTAGCCTAGCAGCAGCTGGTGGGGCTGAGACTGCAGCTGGAATCATTAGCAGCATTTTGCAGTGTTCCATGGATGACTGCCTGCTCTGCCTGGGGGCAGGCTGAGGTTCCCTGCAAGAAACACACAGCCCAGAGCTCCTGCACTTCCCTGTGGAGCCTGCAGGAAAGTTGCTTCATTTTTTCCAAGGCTAACTGGCTGAACATGGCTAGATGTTGGCTAAACATCAGGTTCACATCTGTGAATGGGGCACTTCACAGGCCTACACAGCTGTGTTCTCAGGCAACTGAATTTACAAAACTAGGGATTTAAACTTAGTTTCTCATTTAACTTAGCTAGAACTATTGGAGTCACTGCTGAAAAAAATGGATAAAGACAGCTGGCAAAACTTGAAAAGTACATGTGTAGGTAGGTAAAAAGATGCTTTTATGATCATGTTTTAGAAAAAAAACCTTTGCTATAATATAATAGTATGCAATTTAAATTGAAAATTAAGCAGTGAAAATTGGAAAAAGCCAAGATTTAGGTTGCATGTGAGCTCTCATGAGTATGCATCATGTCACAATATTTGCTCTCCATAAGTTCTCTGTCTCTATTAGTCCCAGAATAGTGGTTTTTGAGCTTGAATCATTGAGAAAGCAGATTTCTGGATTTAATTTCTTTCACAGAACAAATGCAGGGGAAACTGTAAAAGACTGCACTGGAACAAGTCCAGTATAAAAAGAATTTATTGAGATCACATACACAACAGCCTCTGTTGATCATATGTGAAGTTATTTTCCTAGAATGCTTAGAGTTGTACTTGTTTGTTTGACTATTATGTGCATTGCCTCTGCTTTCAATAATAAAAGTTTTACTCAGTTGTGATGAAAAGCTTTCCAATCTGAGAAAGCCATAGAAACATGACTTCCCAATCTTGTTCTGGACAATCACAGAACTTGTTTCATGGTATTATCTTAAGTTAACAAATACATTTTATTTGAAACACAAGGCTTTGAAAATTTTGGCACTGACACAAATTTTTATTAGATCAGTGAAGGAAAATGGGGTTGGATCCTATTACCAAATGATTGAATGGAATGTTTTCAGTAATGATATCCTCACTATTTCAACCCTTGAGTAAATTTGCTAGTAGAAAAGCTATTTAGTCTATCATTCCTTTCCACAATAAAATTCTTTAGTAGAAGAAAAATGAATGTTTACTAGACATTTGCAATCCATAATGAAAGAAAAAAAAATTAAATTGGAATATTTTGATTTCAAAAGCACAAACAGTTGATGCTAAAAAGTAAAAATCATCTTCCAAAACATGGCACACATCAATTTAAGTTTAATTAAAAGTAACAGCATCAATACCATCTTGATGCTTGTCAGAATATTGAAGAGTTGCTGGCAGATGCTGGCAATGCAGCAGTAAGTATGAATCTTTCCCTGTTGTATCATTTAATTTTTTAATGAACCCACACCGCTTATAGACTCTTCAGGTACGTTCAGGCCCACGGGGTATTGTTTACACACAGCACAGCATAAGCCAACCTGTCTTCTTAGGTGAAATCTATGCAGGTCTAAAAATAACTCTATGAACATATGTGCTACAGTATTTTGAGGTAACCTTTGTTTTCTCACAACTTAATGTAATAAATCAAAACTGTAGAGCCAAGCACATGCTGTTTCAGCTCCTCTTGCATGGCCATACATCACTTCTCAGTGCAAGAAGGAAACTTCTGATTTGTATATCATATAAAATCTGTAGAAAGTACTTCTGGTAGGGTTTTAAAAAGAAATAATATTTGTAAAGTACTTGCCTCTTTAAAAAACCCACATGCTAACAAAAGGGATGGCTGATAGGAGAGTAACTTTCTATTGAACTCATTTACCACTTCAAGGGCTCTATACTTATAGGTCACCTGCTGGATGGTTACTAACTGTTCATTATCTTGTGGTTTGTGTTAAATGAGACGAAGGTCTGTTCACCACAAGTCTGTCTCAGAGCAACTTGAATAATATATGGGCCTTTCACATTCTTGTGGGTTTTCTTCACGGTCCAGCACTCAGCGACTGGAGCTGCTTTCATCATCTGAGGAGTAAAGCAAATAGGTTTTGAAGATGAAGAAACATTGCTCGATTTTGGTAAGTCTAACTTGTACTCTCTAAGTGTACTCTCTTTTTCAGTAGGAAAAAGTTTGTCAGGTTATCACTCATGGTTATTAAATTGTCTTGAGCATTTAAAATGTGAGAGCAAAATTGCTTGTGGAAAACAAACTAAGATTGTGAGACTGAAAAAACAAACAGCTGTTGTGTTTGACAATGAAGGGCTGTGGGTGCCAAAGAGAGGCTGTTGCTTCTCAGCCTGACAGAAGGACTGAAGGGAAGCAGGAAGATGCAAGGAAGCTGATACTAATGTCAGCAGTACCCAGAAACATTAAGGAGGCAAAAGGAAAGGCTTGTGGGGAAGTGTAATGCATATGCAAAGTCAACAAAGGCCATGCCCTCAAAGGCCTGCATCCATCTAATTAATGAGTATTAACAGCTCTTAGAACAGTAATACCAGTAATGCAGGAAGGGTGCTTTTAGTTTTCTGGTTTGTGTGTTTTGTATCTTAACATGGTGGAACTAAGTAGCAAGGTGGGAGTTCAGGTGTTTAGTTGTTTCAGTAGGATTTTGCCTTTTTGTTTGGAAATGCAGTAGGCTCATGCAATGTCCTTTCTTATGACAGCATGCCTCTGTCAAATAAAAAAATCTAAATCTGCAATCTAATATTTGTCTGCAGGTAAGTGAAAGAGCAGACATGCAATTTAGGGTTATATATTTTAGCTGGTTTTCCTCAAACCAGCTGAATGAGATACTACTACAAGTCCCCTTAAATTTCTCGAAGACAGTTCTTGGTGTATTTTTTTGTCAAAAAACATATTTTTATATTACTGTTACAAATATGAACTGGTGTTAGAAGTATGTTTATACAGATAAAATACATGTAGTTAAAAAGGTATCAAATTCAGTTTTGGATAAAATAATTGCTAACAGTCTAATAAATTTAAATAAAGGCATGACTTACATAATTTGTAAAATAATCTGCTTGTAAATTAAAAATTTGGATTAGGATGCATAGATCGAAATAATGATATGGAGTCATAGGTAGAAGACTGATTCAGCAGCTCGTATGAGACTGACATTGTTCAGGTATTTTTGGCTTGTCTTCTAGTTAAGTTCTTTATTCTTTTCATTTTTTCTCCAAATTTGGCCTTCAAATATTCCTAAAATCTGTGGAATGTGGTCTTTCATATGGTAGTAGCTTCTGTGTGTTGATTTTCTCTTCCTTAGTGTGGATTCTGAACTTGATGTGTTCTTTGCAGTTGGAGTTTCTGCTAGTCTGAGTGAGGAGGACAGTGCCATGAAGCCAGGCCAGAAGAAACATGTCCATTTACTTCTCGTTTAATGGGTGCACAAAAAGCAGAAATATTATTGAGCGAGGCTGACTTTTTATCTGTCTTTAAGAGCAACTGAAGGGTGTCAGGAGATCAGTCTTTTGCCTTACCAAGAACTCAGACTGAAGGCTTCAGCTTCTCCAAAGTAAAACACTCCACCCGGTCCTGAAACAATTTTTTTAGTGAGTCCTGGTCAGTGAGTAAATATTGAAGTTCATGGTATAATAAGGAAGGGAGGAACGAGGGGGATTCTCAGCTTTATTGCTTACCTGTTGGAAGAGTTACTTGAAGGGAGATGAGAGCTAAGAATCCTGGAGGTCACACACATGGGCAGCACTGGTGCTGGTCACAGATGAGGAAGACAGGCCATCACTGTGGGGAGTGCCAAAGCTGGCAGATTTTTTTGTCTCCTATTAGAAGGTCGCAACGTAGTGGGGTGATGTATTGCATGCAAATGCCATATGGCACCTCCTGACAATACTGTTAAAAATAACACCTGAACACCATTAGAATACTGTGGATTTCAAGAACGTGTTTTTTCAATCTATCCTATTAGCAAATTTTCCATTGCATAATCTGATTACATTCATTGAAGGGAGACAAGCTATATTTAAAAACATGTTTTCTAAAGCAAGTCACTAGATGTTTTTGACAACAGAAGGTAAATAAACAAACACATCTGTTTTAAGACAGTCAGTAATCGCTTTATTGCAAATGATGTCAAGAACAGAAAGAGATAAGGTATTCAGCTCAGAGTATTCAATACTTTCAAGATAACTTTCTTAGGTTAGGCTTAAATGCAGTGTGTAAAATGCTATTGCAAGTAATTCTGCTTTTGTTGGCCATGAATTATTCAGTTTTGAGTATCTGATATATGTAGTCTGCAAGTTTACAGAAGAATCTTATCTAACTACTCTGACAATCAATCATTAGAAGCTTTAGGAAAGTATAATGTGCTCAAGTACTGTAACTCAGCTGATTGCACTAACACAGCTCAAAGAGATATATTTATGCTATAAAGATTATTAAGAACAAAGTAGTTATCTGTTATGAGCCAGATGTTTTCAAACCACAATTACATCCAGTAAAAAATTGTCATGCAAGAGTCAAGATTCTTCCCTAAGTTATAGTTGTCTTTGCCTCTGCTGAAGCATATGCCTCTTTTGAATGTTTGGCATGTCTTGCAGCTATAAAAACATTTCATCAATAAGCTGCCCTTTAACAATTATTTAAAAATATCTAGATGCAGCACAAATTGATTAAAAAATTGTAATGATCCAAGACTTGGCTTGGCACATGAAGAATTGTTTGAGTGGAAACAGCAGTGAAGTGGTAGGGGCTGGACCTCTACTGCTCTCCTAGGCAGCACTTTTCACCTTTCCTGTTTTGTCCTCCTTTTGTCTACTGGTCATTTTCTTCATGACATACATGACCTACATGACCTGCATGTGTGCTGTGGTACATGACATTGCACACTGGGTCTTGGGACAGGGGAGTGTTAAATCATGTCCTTGCAATATGGAAACATAGAGTATGATGGAGATAATAAGGGTGCTAGGAGGAAATGAGTGTCATCATGGTTTTCTGGCTTTTTTCTTATCTCTTATAGCAGTCATTTGTGTAATGTGATGACAGAAATAATTTGGCATGTGGAGTGCAAATGGGTGGATGGGTTTCTACGAGAAAGATATAAAGGGGAAAGAAAACATATACGGAGGGAAATGTAGGAAGTTCTAAAAAAGAGAATGGATACAAGACTGCATTTCGCATGGAAGGAAAAATGACTGTGAAGTTTTTAAGGAAATTGACTTCAAAACTTTTTCATATCTTTACTCCTTATTAAAGATGGAAGATTTGTCAGGGAAAGCAGAAACAAATTTGGCAAAAAATTCAAAAGTCAACAAATGTTTTGATTCACTTTCATGACTAGCATCCTAAGCTTTATTTTGAATGCAGCTTTGCACATGGCACGCTTATGAATGAGTGTGTCATAATGACTTTTCTCAGAATGGGGAAGAAGATTTTTGGGCAGACATTTAGAGGTCCTGTGTTCAAGGTGCCCCAGGAGTCTGGTTTGGTGCTGCCTTGATCTGACTTTGCATTCCAGTCTGCTGGAGGAAGCTCCAGTATAGCAGAGTTCACCTTAATATGAAGGCCAAATACATTTACTTTTCAAACAAATGAAAAAGTCTTTTCAAAAAGTATCAAACAATGCAAACATATTCATGGCCTGCAACCAAGCCTGCCTCTGGTCCTTGGAAGCATTTTCTTGTTTGCTGTATCTAAATACTGTGTTCAGCCAACTGATTTCTATGTCTCAGGTGTAACCATAAAAAATCTTTTTATGTATGCAGGCCCAGGTCGTTTACATGGTTTCACTGTGTCTGAATTTCTCTGAATAATTTCATAAGGGTAAGAGGACATCACAACTCAGTTTTTAGGCTCTTTTTTTTTTTATTCATATGCTAGCCTGGATATGTTTTCTGGATGTTCCTTTTTATCATAGAATCAACCAGATTGGAAAAGACCTTTGAGGTCAAAAAGTCCAACCTATGACCAAACACCACCGTGTCAATTATAATATGGTAGTAAGTGTCACATCCAGTCTTTCCCTAAACACTTCCAAGCACAGAGACTCTAGCACATCCTTGGGCAGTCCATTCCAAAGCCCAGTTGCTTTTTCTGTGAAGAAAAAGCTTTGGCATTCCTTGTACTGTGCCTTTATGGTTCATGTAGTGATTTTATGTGCTGTTTCTCTTGATAATTGGAATAGATTTTCAGCAGCAGATTAAAAATAAGTAAAATTGTCAGAGGCAATATGCAGTAATTGCTTTGTTCTTCAGAGAGCTTAAGAGAAGTGGCAAACACTCAAATGAGAATTTTCTTATCCAGGATTTTCTATGACAATGAGAGATGATAAATAGACGTGTTCCTTTTGAAAACCACTCAAAAATGCTTCAGTACACAGTATTATTACAAACCACTATTACAAGTCATTTGCTAGTGATGCATGAGTGAGTTAAAAGTGGCTTTGGACATGACTTATTCCTCTTGGTAACTTCTGCTATTCAAATAAATACTAAACAGCATTGGGCATAAAAAATGTGGAGGAAGAAAAATGGAAACGTGTAAAAGAAATAGTATATATATTTATATTACTATTTATATTTATAAATACTATATATACTATGCTAAAATTTGAATACTATAACTATATAAAAAAACTGTAGTAAGGGTGTGGCAAGAGGGAGGGTACTAAAGGCAGGAAAAGTAATATAAAAGATGGTCATTATTTTTATTCATTTGTTGAAGTTTATGTACCTCTCAAGGGACATGACAGAAATGTGCGACTTCTTTGAACCTCAGCATTATCCTTCTAGTACAAAAGAAGCAAGCGTTTATTGTGAAAATGAAAGTTCAGTTGTATAAATAAAAGTCATGTGGATGTCATTCAGATTGCAAATGACTCCAGTAATGCAGTGCATCATGGCCTTCAGAGAGTGGCAGTCTGGAGGTTGTGAAGAGGGCACAGTGCTCACAACATCAGCCAGGAGAGGAGCAGATTCTGGAAACTTGTGTTAAGAAGAGTAAATGCTCATCCTAATCTATGATATGTGTGCAAGTTTTCTTCTACAGTGTTCAAGAGAGGCTGTAAAGTAGATTTAACCTGGATTTAACACTGTGTTCATGTCAGGATGAAAAAGA